AAGCTTCACAGGCGATACGCATCGTTGCCAAACATTTCGCTGCAGTCGATTTCCGCTTTTGAATCCCCTCTGTCCGAAACCGCTTCAATGACGCAAGTATTTAGAGATCTGCTTGAAAATCGTCCGATAACCCTGAAAATCGACGATATCAAGAGTTTTCAAAGGCGAAGCAAATCGATGCCAAACATGGCATTCGAAACGAAGTCCATGGGTGACCAGAAGCGACCAGAAGCGATTCCGTCCGTCGCTTCCATCACCGAGATGCAAGTTTTGACGGATTCGCCATCGGCAAAAGAGCCGGAGCCGGTGCCGATGCACGAAACGGTTCAACAAACGAGAGGACAAAAAAATGTCTGCTGGGCGAACGCCAAAAAAAGGCAAGCCTAAACGGAGGATTTGTTCAATGTGTCCGGCGAACAAAACGGCGTCTAGCTGGACACAAAAGAGCTGTGAACTCAGGACAAAAGCTCACCTTGGCGTATTACACAGGCCTAATAAAGGCGAGAGGGGAGGGGGCCAAGACTGCAGCGACGTTTAAAAGCCACTGTGGAATTAATAGCCAATGATCTGCAGTAGCTGACAGAGGTTACTTCTGCCCTGCGGCCAGAATTCTAGCCCTGGATCAAAAGAAGTGTTTATGTAAAAAGATGATACCTACCTATAAATTATAAAATATATGGCTATATTTCCGTAATATTGTGTACCTACATTTAGTATTTATACTAATAAACGTTATTATTGTTATGTAATTTATTTGGTTTTATTTGATATTATTGAATTTTTAAGCTTTTGATCAATGACCAAAAAATGTAACAACAAGTTACATCGAAAAAATCAAAAACCCTGCGAATTTACGAGAAAAACGATGTGTAATAAAGCTCTCCGTGGATTTGAATTTCTCCAATTTGCTTAGTAATTTTATATTTTTCTTTAGAATGTTCTATATTAGAGTATAGTTTTGCCATTTAGAATTCTTGTCAATCTTGCTGTGAGTGGCGCTCATTCAGATTGTATTGTTATCAGTATTATGTTAAAATACTTTTTTACTATCGTAAATGTAGTTAAACGAGGTTACCCCATCCAAATCAATTTAATAACTTAGATGTGAATATGAATATATATACGTAATATGTGTGTGTGTTTATGTGTTATGTACTTATGTATGACTATTGACTACCCTGCCAGAAATTCTGCGAAATCCTTATAAAATACATCCAAACGTTCGTAATTATGCATCTAATGGAATTTTGGTACTTTGGGGAGTCATTTTTTTAGTAGTTTTCAAAAGTGCCGTGAAAAACAAAAGAAAAATTAAAATAGAACGGGAATTTGTACACACAATCTGTTTTCGAAAAAAATAATTTTGGTTTTGGTTCAACCCTTAAATAAATGACCGTAGATACATACAATTTTGACTGAATGTTTATATTAGCATTTTCTGTACACGATAAAATTTTCAAAATATTATGATTTGATTTGAACTGTTTTATTTGGAACATTTTCATTTTCCATATTTTTTTAGTTTTTTTTCTAAAAATATCAATTAAATTGTATTTGTTGGTTAAAAAAGCTTGAAATTAAATAGAGGGCCATTAGTATATTGTTTCAAAGGCAAATGAAAAATATTAAAAATCCTTAGTCACAATTTTTTTTTTAAAGCATTTAAAATTTAAAAATTGACAAAATATGGAAAAATCACGAAAATTAGCAAATTATTTTGAGTTAAGAATTCGTAAAAATTTTGCTTTTAAAATCTAAGATTTGAAAATGTAATATACAAGATTCCTTATAAGATTATCTACCTTTATCAAAAAAAAAAAAATGTCTATAAGAAAGTCAAATTAAATTTTTATGAGCGTTCGAAATTCGTAATATTTAAGTATAAACGAACAATTTCAAAATGTTTTAACTTAATGGATTTTTTTAAATCAACTGAGAAAAGCTAAGTTATTTCAATTGTAAATTAAACTATTTAAGTTCATAAGTTGAGAAAATAAACTAACTAGTTAAGTTAAAAAGTTAAAAAAAAATTAACTTTTTAACTGAACTTTAACTTTTCAACTAGTTAATGCCCACCTTTGTACATACCTAATATAATACTAAATACATATACCTAAACTTTAATATTATGAATACTATATTTATATAGTATATTAGTATAGTAGGTACTCTATAATATTATAGTATAGTATTCATAATCATTGATATAACATAAACCTATTGTATTTTATTATATTTTGAAACGGAAAATTATTTAATATAGGTACCATTCGGGCCACAGGAAGACAAAAATGGGTTCTTTTTTATAGTGGACATTTTTACAAACTAACGGTATGTTTTCCATAAAGACCTATAGTTACACATTCCATGTGTCACACAAAAAATCTCATAGGTACATTTTAACCACGTGCTGACCCCGCTATAAACATTATGTTAATGGAAAATAAAAATAAAATAATATACCTAATATCATGATTCATGATATATGCACAATATGGTACATTATTTTACAATTTACCATTGGGCACGATAGGTAGGTATTTCAGTATTTGCCTATAGCAGTATAGCCTCTAGCAGGTTGAATTATATCCCGTGACCTTTTTATCTTATTATATATTTATTTATAATATATTCTTCTTAACCGTTTTACTAGGTAGATACTACCACAGATTATATAAATTTTTATATAATTCCTATAATTTATATTATCTTATATATATATTTATACACAAATTACTAGAATAGAGGTCTAGCATACTGCATAGGTACTTGTTAAATATTTAAGTACTAGTATTAAATACTTTTTCTGTATTTTAAATACTTTTAGACAGAACTACAGAAGTATTTCAAGTATATTTCAAAATTCAAATACATACTATTATATTTTGTATTTAAAAACATTAAATACAAAATTTTCAAACAAGATATTTACTAGTTAGTTTGGTTTATCGATTATGAAGAAATTGCTTATCGTCGATGAAAAGACATGAGTATATTATGACGATTATAAATGTTTTTATCGACAAACAAAGATAGGTATTTGGTATAATTAAAGGTTATGTTTCTTAAATGTAATACATTTTAAAATAGTATTACTGTATAAGTTATAAATTAAACATAATTACATTTAAAATTTTTTATAAATAAAGGAATTCTGTATAAACCTACAATTGTCTTCTATATTCAATACACATTATTACATTAAACAAATAATTAGTTTTAAGAATTAAGAATCAGAAAATAATAAAGCTTAAAAAAATGTATTTAAAAATATTTGAAATACTTTTGAAAAGTATTTTTAACAATATTGACGTCTAGTACTTTGTACTTAGCATAATAGCACGATTCTAAAGAAAGTTCTTTATAATCGTGATTCGTGGTACATATGTATAATATGAATATAATATTACTATATTAGTATAATTACAATAAATTAGTATTAATTGTTATTATTTATTAGTATAATATGAATATCTTAAATCGTAGTCCGTAGTTCCGTACTCTGTGATAGCATAGAACATAGCATTTATATTTTATACCACAGATATGTATAATAAATAGGGAAAAGATTTTAATTTAAATAAATATTTTTATGTAATAATAGCATCGGAAAGTTTTCGATATATGTATACGTTTCATTTAATTTCAAGTAATCTGATGCTAATTTTATTTTAAATATTTTTAAATATTTTAGAATAATTAAATATTTTTAAATATTTTAGAATAATTAAATTTTTTTACAAATAAATACATAAATTATGTAATATTGTAGAATTTCCGTGTATATTTTAATTATTTTACAAATAAATATACGTATTCTGTATTATTGAAGAATTTCCATTTTTATTTTAGTATTTTGCGATACGATTAGGTCTCTGTACTGTACACTTTTGACATCAAAAAAAAATTTTTAAAAGCGAAAAGTCGTATACAAACATTTAAAGATATGTACCCGGATTTAACTCTACCTCCCGAGCCTATTATAACTCGATGGGGTACGTGGTTATCAGCTGTATTATATTATTCAAATAACTTTGAAAAGATTAGAAACGTTGTCTTAAATTTAGATCCCGAAGCTGCAATAGCAATAAAAAAAACTGTTGAGCTCATAGACAGTAAAAATTAGCAAAACAATTTAGCATTTATTTCGACTAATTTTGGATTTTTGGTTGATACTATTTCAAAATTAGAAACTTCTAAAATGCCACTAACGGAGAGCTTAGAAATAGTTGATAATGCCATAAAGCAATTAGAACGGGTTCCTGGAGAAATTGGAGTTTTGACCAATTCAAAATTAAAAAATGTATTGGAAAAAAACACAGGTTTTAACACTGTAATGTCAATAAGAGACATACACTCCAAGTAACAAATATTCAGAAATTGAATACACTCCAAAAGAAATAATGTGTATGAAATATGCACCTGTCACGTCCGTTGATGTGGAGAGGTCATTCAGCCGTTGCAAAGCAATGTTAAGACCGAACCGCCGCCACTTTACATTTGAAAATTTCAAGCTATATGTTGTTTCTAACTGTTTCCCACATGAAGACTATGATGAATCAGAATAGATTTTTAATTTTTTTAAATTTTTAATTAATTATTTAATAATTCTATGTTATTTTCAATTTAATATTTAAATATTATACATTTATAAATAAATATTTATTAAGTAATAAACAAATATATATTTAAATATTTTTAATTTTATACTAAATTAAAATCCGTTCCCTAATAATAAATTATCTATATCTGTGTTTTATACGGACAGAATTTATATTCCTTGTTTGTTATCTTTCATTATTATCAACTCTACTTTATCACAGATGTTATTATCAAAGAACAACAAAATATGTGACCAAATATAAACATGAAGTTTAATTCTTTTTCTACGTTAGTTTATTTACTTTTATTGTTTTCATTGTTTACAGTCTGTTTTTTAAATGCGTTTCAGTTAGTAATTAATATTATTTGTCATCGATGTAACCATTACCATTTCATTGATGTCGGCCCATTCGCCAGATTCGATCGTCCACCGTCGGTCCAACACCAAACAGGTGCATCCGGTGGTTGGACTGAAAAGAGTATCTTTTCACGAAGACGTTATTGAACCCAGCAATGGCAATCTTATTCAAATACGAATTGGGGAATGTGGTGAAAGAGAAGCACCGGAAGGACAAGAAGACCCACAATCAAATGAAACATCGTCCAAAGGTTCAGTTTTAAAATCTAAAAAACAAAAGTTTCCTTCTCTTTACATGAACAGTTTAAACGTTGATCTCAAATCCCAACAAGTCGTTTTAAACCAAATACAACAGGAAATCAAGGAAAAAAAGTGGAACTATATTTGGGATAAACATTTGGATGTGGGATCAAACCAACTGATTAATATAATTAAAAGAGATTTATTATTAAAAACCAAAGAATCTATTTATAAAGTAAGTGCAAGTAGTTTACCTCCATAAATTAAATTTAACTATTATTATTTTATTTCAGATTTATAGAATGCTAAGCACTGGTGGATCACCTTTATTTGTAGTTATTACAAATATTAGGTTTTGTGTTTTAACTAAAAATGTATACACCAAACGGTTAGAAATATTCTATAGTTCAAATTTTACAAGACTAGATCTTATAGCCTTAGGCCCCTGTGATCAAACTGCAGTCTTTGTTAGCGAAAAATCAAAAAAGTGTACTTTAATAACAGCAATAGATGTGCAATCGGCACTAGAAATGATTGGCAGTCTTGAATATGCTTACAGACGTAGTGGACTTTATGACCCAAATAATGCATTTGTTGTCATAAATATCAATTGTGATGATAAATTATACGAGTCCGTAAAATGTCAAATTTCAATACCTAAGGTAAACCTTTCTTCGTAGTGCATAATTTCAACTCAGTTTGTAGGTATTAAATTAATTTTTTTTTTCTAGGATGAAAAAATCAAATATTATACATGGTTGTGGTATTATAAAGAAAGTGAATCTTCAAATAGTTTAAAATCTCATTTAGAAGAATTTTTAATGGTAAAAAAAGGATCTATATGGAAACCACGATTTGTGCGTTTAAGGTATTATTATTATTTATTACCAACACATCTCATTCTTCTTCTCATGATCTCTACAGGCCATGATAGCCGTTGGCTTCCAAAACAATTCTTATCCACCCATTGCGATTTTTGGCTACATTTCTCCAGTTCCCTACCACTATCTGTTGTAGATCTTTCTTAACTTCGTCTACCTATCTGCTTCTTGGACGTCCTTGTCTTTTGGTTCCCTCCATTCTTGCATGCATTATTCGTTTGGGTATTTTTTCCTAAGCCGTTCTCTCTACATGACCCAGCCATCGGATCCTACATGATTTTATGTATTTCACTGTTTTCGTTTTCTAAAATTTGTTCTATTTCCATGTTGTTTCTATACATCGTATCATTGAATTTAAAATAAACTGAGAACCATATGTAAAACAAATAACGAAAATATATTTAAATAATTAACTTAAATTATGTTATAGTGAAGATATTTTATACATATATGACCATCCAGATCAAAAGTTACCATGTGAATCAATACCTTTAAGATTTGGTCGTTGTAAAAAAGTGAGAAAAATTCATTGTGATCGACCTCACTCTATTGAAATTCTACTGATTAATTACCCAATCATTTTGGCACCAGCTGATTGTAGTCAAGAAGAAAAATGGTTTAATGCTCTAAGCTGTTCTATGTCAAATGTAAGTTATACTGCATCTATAAATTACACATTTAAATTTTTTTTAATTATTTAAACTTTAAAGTTAAAAATAAATAATGTATTGTATTCAAATGTTATCTAATAAAACAAAAATATTTTATTTTTGATTATGTTTTCAGCATAAAAACTTAAATGTTGAATCCAAATTACCTGATGGATACTGTTGTTTGTTGACTAGTAGCCATATAGTTTTGTACAATTTCCCTCACACAGTTACAGACAGCATGTTATTAGTCAATATGGATTCATTGAAACTATCGCCTTCTCCATCACACTATTATGTTGTAATTGTAAGTGTAATAAGTAAATTTGCATTTAAAATAAATAATTTTTACAACCTAAAATATTTATGATATATTTTATAAACAAGGAGTGGTCCTGTTACGATGCAACATTAGAAGAAAGCTGCAATGATTGGGTTGTGCATTTTTCTTGTAAATCAAGTTGTGATGAATTCATATCATGGTTGTGTACTCTAAGACCAGATTTAAATGCTTTGGAGTTAGTTGAAAAAAAGTCTATACAGCGACACCTTAAAAATAGTATAACTTTGCAAAGCTCACTAATTTAACTTATTTCACTATTTTTATGCTTGTTTCATTTATTTGTTATTAATTTTAAACTGACACAAAACAAAAAAGATTGTGCTTTCACATTTGTAGGATTTACTATTATTGGTTATATTAATTTTTACATTAACAGAGTAAAAAAAAAGGTGCTTATTTAAAGTTAAGTTTTTCTTAATTTAAGTGATTTTTATTTTTATGTTATACCAAATTGTGTTTTTAAATTTTCAACTAATACTAATAAATTATACAGTGGCGTACTTAGGCCTACTTGTTGGGACAGAATTTATGTATATGAATTGGTTGACCTTAACTGACATAAAATAAAATAAAATATTTTAGTAAAAAAAACCCACCACACAGAGTACGCCACTTAAATTATAATGTAATATATTATATATATTGATAAAATGTATAATAATAATTTCTGTGATAGGATTCTTATAAATCATCATTGTTGTGTATTTGATTTATGCAATATGTAAGATTTTTTATACTTGAATGTGACTGTTAAAAAGTAAGAAATAACTCAATATATGCTATATATAATTGCTTTATGTAGATTCATAAATATATTAGTATAATAATCATGACATATTTAGCAAGTAAGATACCTGTTTGGGTTTCATGATGTTAGGTCAAATGTAAACATAGTTGCAACCAAATAAATTACTCGAAATCTAAATAAATCCAATGTTGTCCAAGTAATTTAGGTCTAATTTATTTATTTTCTCTAAACTGTATTTTATATTTGGTATAAATGTAAACTTAAATGTATTATAATTTTATAATTCAGGTTCAATTTATATTTTATATTCACTTCAGACCATACTAAAAATACTTATATCAGATATAATAATAAAGAAACTAATAAAATCAGGATTGAAGAGGTGTAGGTAGTCAACCAATAAAAAATAAACATGAAGATGAAAAGATATAGAATAAAATATATTATCTTCTCACTTCCTCTATTTCACACAATAATACAGCGTGTATTTTGCTCCTTGTGTGCTAACTCCTAGAGTAACTCAATAAAGTATACCTATTGCAAGGCCCTAACTTGGGGAGGAGTGCAAGCATGCGCGGACTGGCTGGTATGCTACAGCATTCCTTGCCCTTAAATATAATTGCCTAATATTATTTATTTAAAAAGACTCTAGACACCTAATTACCAACCTATGATTATAAATTAGGAATCTATAATTTTGATTGAAAGTTTGTTGTAACTTCGTACTTATTTATGTTTTTAACGTATATTCAATATTTTTTTTAAAACAAATTAAAATATATTAATGTTTTATAAATAATCTACATGTTTTAAATTTGCCCCAACAATTTTTGTTATTTGCCCTTTAAATTATGTAGCATCCCGTGCCCTATTTCACCAGTCCGCGTCTGAGTGCAAGGATCTGAACCTCCTATAATTTTTAAAAGTAGAACAAGAGTTTTTATATTTTTATCATAAAATTGATGTCCAGTAGGTATCCATATAAAAACAATTGGACCCCCCTTTACCCCAAATATTTTTCAGTTATGTCTTTCAATTTATCATACTGAATTAATATCAATAAGTATGAAAGTTAAATATAAAAATAATTTTACTAACAAAATCACCCACCCACCTCACACCTGGACACCTGGCTACCCGAAATTAACAATTGATGATTTAATTTACACAATATAATATATTATATAAGAAACATTTGATTGCTTAATGCCTTAATTGACAACATAGATGAAAGTGTTGTAGGTACTGTTGTTGACTTTGCTGTTTCCAACCTATGTTGGATCAACATATTATAAATGTTAATTTCCTTTATAACTCAGTAGCTCTCAATAAAAAATAAACATTTGCTAATTCACCACCGGATATCTGGATGCGTAAGTACTACCTAATGGGGTATGAAGTACATATTTACATAATATAGAATTATTTAGGTTTTCGATTATTAGATGCTACGTGTGTTGTATAATATGCAGTAGTCGAATCGGGAAAAAGTAAGAACGAATTAAGGGAGACTAGTATAAAAGTTAATTTACAAATAATTTGGACATGTACTTATTACTAAGTTATCTGCGGTCACCCCGCAATTCAAACATTGGATTGTTGGCTCCCATATTTGTACTTCCAATACGTTTCTAATTAGATACCCATATGGTGCATGGACGTGAATCATATTGGCAGGAATGATATAAAATATGTGAAGCTTACATATCCATATAAATCTGAGAAACTGTCTATGGATTTACGCACAGCAATTATCAGTGGCGTGTCCGGGGAATTTTCAATGGAGAGGGGGAGGGCTTTATAAGTAATAATACATTTAAATGAATTGCTGTGGTAATAACAAAAAAAAAATTCCAGAGGGGGACTAATGTCTAAATTTAGTTTTAAGCGTTCCAAATATAATTTTATGTATAATGTCTAATGTATAAAATACTAATTTCTTAAAGGGGACGCTTTTTAACCACCGTCTGAGGTAGGGGGACTTTAACCCCTGTTTAGTGATTATAGTTATTATACCTATGTATAATATATTATGAGGAGTGAGGGTGTTAAAACAAATAAAAACTGATTTTGAAATCGTTTCGGTGGTTAAAACAATCATACCTAATCGAAACACTTTGTACATCGAACCGCCGCATACTAAAACGAGCTTGTAAATATAAGTGTGGCTGTGTGGGTAGGTAGTAGGTACAAGTGTATAACATTTTGAGGGGCAATTTTTTTTTTTGTCGTATATGAACCATAGACATAATAAACTAGTTACTATGTATTTATGTCTGGAACTCGACTATTCCATTATTGGCATATGCCGATGATATAGTACTGATGGACGAATCTCAAGATGGAGTTAAACGGCTCTGTGGCAGACTAAATGACGCAGCACAGAAAGTAGGACTACAAATTAATGAACAAAAAACTGAATATATGATTATAGGTAGACAAAATTGGATGGATCAAGTTTTGGAGGTAGATCATTTTAAATTTAAGAGAGTGAATTCTTTCAAATATCTTGGCTCAATTGTGACTGAAAAAAATGATATCACCAAGGAAGTAGCCGCGAGAATCCAAGCGGGAAACAGGAATTATTATGGTTTGGAGAAACTATTAAGTTCTAGATCATTATCAAGAGAGATAAAGAGACGTTTGTATACTAGTCTAATACGGCCAGTGATATTGTACGGATCGGAAACATGGGCACTAAGGAAATCAGATGAGAATAAGTTCTTAATACTAGAAAGGAGAATATTACGAAAGATATTCGGCCCAATAAAAGATAACATCACAGGAGAGTGGAGAAGAAGAAAAAACATAGAGCTACAAGAAATTTTTAATGAAAATAACATAGCAGAGACGATCAAGAAAAAAAGATTGCGGTGGGCAGGACATGCAATCCGAAGCCAGAACTCTTTACTAAGAATGGTTCTAGAACAGAATCCAGTAGGAAAAAGGCCCTTGGGAAGACCAAAATTGAGATGGGAAGATTTAGTTAAGAGGGATATAGAAGACTTGGGAGGCGGAGCAAACTGGAAGGATTTGGCGATGAATAGAGATGCCTGGAGAATTGGTTGTGAGACGGGATGGTCCTAGCGGCCGATTAACCCAAGAAGAAGAAGAAGATGTATTTATGTCTATAATAGGAACTCACTACATTTAAGATGGTACACGGGTGACGCTATGAGTTGCCACGTGCCCACGTATACATATATATTTATATCAGCGGTTCCCAACCTTTTTGAGACTATTACCCATAAGTCAGGTTAGATATTAACATATACCCCCGACCCAAAAAAAAAGTTGAGTAAAAAAAAAAACAAAACAAAATATATATTATGATAATAATTAAAATGTATAAAATATAAAATATATAAAATGTGTAGATAATTGTACAACAAAAATAATTCCAGGAAATTCAATATAATGTAATATTCTAAGACTCTAAGTATTATTTGAAGATAATAAAATTATTTACAATTATATATTAATTATAATTTCATTTACAGTCATAATACACATGAGTAAATGGATAATAAGTACTTAAAATACAAGTTTAACTTTTACCCCCCAAAAAATCGTGTTTTTACCCCTTAGGGGGTAATTACCCCCAGGTTGGGAACCGCTGATATATATATATACCTATATATTGATATTTTATAAATTAATTATAATGTTATATATTTATATACAGTGTGATTTTTAGATTCTAAGCGGAGCGATGAATCATGAATATATTGGTTTTACAGTTATGTGTGTTTTAGATTCTGAGCGGAGCGATGAATGTATTGATTCTACAATGATATGTGATTTTTTATTTTTATTTTTTTTTTGTTTATAATCACCTTTTGGGGCAGTACCACTGCTTCCATTTTTTTCAACAGTATCTTGTTTGATGGGAAAGTGAATCTAGTTGGTGCATTTTTCAGATCAATATTTAAAATTATTAACTATAGTTTTCAAAAGCGCTGCGGCTGCAGGGAAAAACAAAACAAAAATTAATGGAAAAACGGCATTTTTGGTGTAACTTTAAAAAAAATAACCGTAGATACATGGAATTTTTATATAAGCATTTTCTATATACGATAATTTATTGTTTTGAGCGGTTTACGAAATTTTCAGTTTCTAATTTTTTTCGTTTTTTTGCTATAAATGCCAATTAAATTGTCATTGGGTCAAAAAGCTTGGACATTTAATACAAGGCTCCTAATATATTGTTACAATGACAGTTGAAAAATATTTTTAAAAAAAGTCACAATTTTTTTTATAAGCATTTAAAGTGTGAATTTTGACAAAATACTTACCTACTAATAACGAAAATGTGCAAATTATTTTAAGTTAGAAATTCATACAATTTTAGATTCTGAGTGAAACGATGAATGTATTGATTTTACAATGATGTGTTTTTTTTTTTTATTTTTTTGTGTCTGTCATCACGTCTTAGGACAGTAAAAGTGCTTGGATTTTCTTCAACAGTTCTGATAGGAAAGTGAATCCAGTTGGTAC